GGCCTTTTGATCCTGAATATATGCTGTAATCATCCTTTTCCATTCAACGAACTCAGTGAAGACGAGAAATAAAAATTGTACCTGCATTGAACCAAGTGATTTTGCTCAATGAATGGGTCCACAATAAAATGAAACGAGAAATATTGAAATTTCGCAGGAATATGCGATATTACTGTGATATTGTGGTAATTCACAGATTTTCATGCAATACCGATGGAAAATACTGACCTGAGTCAAGGAAAGCTCAATAAAATAAAATTATTTATCATCTTTCAGTGTTGAACAATCTTTCAATTTTCGAGACTATGGAATTACTCAAAGAACAATTCATTAATGCTCTAATTTTTTCTTTAAAAAATCAGTGCTCACAGGACGGCAAATAAAAAATGAACCTGTATTGAATTAAGTGATTTTGCTCAATGAATGGGTCCACAATAAAATGAAACGAGAAATATTGAAATTTCGCAGGAATATGCGATATTACTGTGATATTGTGGTAATTCACAGATTTTCATGCAACACCGATGGAAATTACTCAAAGAATAATTCATTAATGCTCTAATTTTTTCTTTAAGAAGTCAGTGTTCACAGGAGACGGCAAATAAAAAATGAACCTGTATTGAATCAAGTGATTTTGCTCAATGAATGGGTCCACACCAAAACTGAAACGGAAAATCACTGCGACATTGCAGTAGATCAATAACTTCAAGCGATGCAAATGGAAAATATTGACGTGCGTCAATGAAAAACCAACAAAATAAAATAATTTCTCCTGACAAAAAACCACAATTGAGGGATTTTTAATCTCCATTAAAATGAATTTAATCCTTCGTTTGTTGTTGGAAATTCAATATTGAGAGCTTTGGAACGTGAAAATAGTTGTTTTTAATCGGATGATCGTCGTGTGGAGCCACTTACCCGATCTCAACCGCGCATTGACCCGAAAATCCTCTGATGAAAGATAAACACCCGTCCGATGGCTTATTTAGTACATGGGGCGAGAGATTCCGAAGTTCTTCACCTCCACCTCCCTAAATCCTTCCACCACCACTACTTCGTATGTAATTACGTGATGGGGCACCTAATTAAGCGCTGGTGGATGGATTTCGACGGGAGATTGTGGATTTGGGTGCTAGAGGGTTCATAAGTAAAATTCGTGCTGCTTTCTGGATTTATTGTTACTTATTTTTATTTATATTTATCTTCCATCCACTTTTTTTCATCATTTTTTCACTTTTTGGTAACAACATTCAACTCAACGACGCAAAGCACAATATAGTATTAATATCTTATTTAACATATAATATAGTGATATTACTCATCAATACTTTTTATTATTTTTAGGGGTTTAATTATATGTGTACATGTATGTTATAATTTCAGAGAAATGTTCTTTCATTTCAATTGTATGAATCGATTCAGTGATGAAGGACATTGAGAGAAAAAACGAACTTATTTACCGAGACTGATTTCTCGGGTTAAATATGTCATCTTGTGAAGAAAAATCGCTCGGGACAAGAATTTCGTAGAATGACTCAGGCTATGTACGAATTTCTTGGTTCAAAGATATTCGTACATAGAAATTTTGCGAAACATATGAAGAGACTCTTCTTACAAAAAATTTTATACTCAACAAACTTCGCTCCTTTCATGGATATCTTCAAAATAATCCGCATAAAATGGCTGAAAATAAATCATTAAACCATCTCGCTCTATAAGAAATAATTCCATCGATTGCTTGCTTGACAAAAGAGAACATTTTTCTGATTTCAAACCCTTCCCATCCCTTATAATTCGTGTATCGTGCCTCAGATTTTTTTGAAAATATTTTCACCATTTCTTTAAAAAATTCTCTATCATTCTTTTAGTTTAAAGCGAGGGACTGAGGCATCAAAGCTACGTACACTGGTATTTACCTAAGTACGATTTGTCTTAATTAATTCGTTATTTACAGGATACAATTTTTCTCTCTCTCTTTCATTAATTCTTGGTCAATTCGTTCAAACTCCGAATTAAGCAAGGGGACATTTTTTGAATTTGACTTCTCCCTCAACCTCTCAATACGCGAAACTTTCATTGATACATTCTCTTTCTTTCCATTGTTTATTCTCATGATTTTCTGGGCCACGCGCACTTGGAATTTAGGACCCTAAAACTCTGGTCTTTCATCCAACGATTGTCGGGTTATCGTTGATCTTGAAAAAGAAGTGGCTAAGTGGCAGTATTATACCGAGTATTCGCTCGAGATAGCTTTAAGTAGTCCTTGAGCGTTTAGTGGACCTTCCAAAGCACTGGCATTCTGTCTTGCACCCTCTTGAGACTCTCCATACGCTGTTATTTTTATGGCCTCTTTTGACACGCAATTAGTCCTCCCATTTTTCTTCGATTTACTAGCAAGATAATTAGTGAACTGTCGTGATTGTTGCTACATATGCACGTAGCAAGGAGTATAATGAAACTTATGCCAGAGATGTGGGCAAAAATTACTGAGCAAAATGTAATCGTGAGGCAGAATGAAAATGCAATGAAAAATGTATTTTGTTGGCGTGCACGGAGAGAAATTCAATAAAAATTACATATCTTTTCCGTAATTCCGGAGCGAAATGTGGTTCTAGGAAATTTTACGGAACTCTCACGGAATTTTTCCAGAGCATTCCGTAATTTTTATCTGAATCTCCTGCGAAAAATTACGATACCGTCACTTAAATTTTCTGAGTCGATTCCGTAATCGGTGAGTGAACTGTGAGTTCCGTAATTTTCACTGAACATTTCAGGAATTATTTGTACGGTTCGTACTACGCTAGTGCACCACTGATTCACGTGAGTTTGGAGATGATTTCGAATATGATTTCGGAGAGCTGAAATCACTTGATTGCAGTGATTTCTGAGTGATTTCGGAATGATTTCATGCCAGAGTGGCGCCGCGATTTCAGGAGTGAGTAGCCCCCGCAATGCGTTTGGTAAAATTTGACTTCCATTCGTCCCCATGACCTTCGGCGAAATAACCATGGCGAAATAGATTACTAACCAAAAATGCTTCACCTATTTTTACATTCTTGAATAGAGGATTTTTCTCGCCGTGTGAGGGCTCTTAGGGTAATGAGCTGTGTGCAGTTCCAGAAGGCCTGTGAATGCATTAGGTGACTTTTCGTTATGGAAAGTAGAAGTCGCTTGCCGTTGATGTTCTAGTTCTGGGGACCTTTCAACTAATCCGATGCAGACGAACTGCTCCCTGTTATTTCACGGCACCGACGGACCTGTTGCACTCAGCTAAAACCACTTTACTGAATAATGGATGTCCCTGGTGCTTCACGAAAATAATCTACATGTGAAGTTTACTCGATGATTATCGTTCTCTTGACTGAGCTCAATCTGACTTTGATGATTTAATCTGTCTATTAACGTTCGTGCGAGACGTTGATTGCTCGTATTTTCGTTCTTTGATTGAAGAATTATGAAAGAAAGCGTCGAGCTGACGATTTCTAGTACTTTTTTCCTGAGATAGTGTAAGCTCGAGAGTATTCTGGCCATCCAACTCTATTCTTCCATCCAATCTCTATTTGTTCGGTCATATTTCTGTTATCCACTGGCTGCGAGCAGAATTTATGAAAATGAATGGTGTAAATTCGTTCGTATATTTTGCATCGAAAAACTGTCATCATTTCTGCTGAATTGTGTATATTCTCTTCTCACCGATCATTCTGGTTTGTAAAATAAATTCCACGATTTACAGACTGTGAATTTGCCTCTACAAATTCATGAGAAAAGGTGAGCTGGTTATGCAGTATTTTAAAAAGAGGTGATTCCAGTGAACCGAATATAGGGAATTATGCAGTAATATTTTTTGTTCTTAATATTACTTACAGTTTTCGTTTTATCTCTTGGGCAAACATTAATCTTTTTTTTTGTTCTACTCCTCAGCGAGTCTTTTAGTCTCGAGTTTTCCCGACCCAAGGAGAAAGTCGATGAAGAAGTCAGAAGTGCATTGGTGAAGCGAATCTGACGTTTTAATCTCAAGCATACACATGGGTTCTGGGAGTATGTTTTGTTAAAACTCAAGCAAAAAGGGAACGAATAGAATGAATATTGGAAGATGGGGGAACGCGCTGTATGAAATTTTGATATTTGCGAATGTGAAAGAAACTTTGGAAGAAGTTGGGAGCAGAGTACAAAGAAGAATGGGATTCTCGTGGGATTTGCACTTCTCATGTGAATCCAGAACTGTTCACTACTCTCAATACCGCAAAGAATGCAGTGAAGAGGTGAAATCGCACACAGAGAAATTATTTTCTGAAATCAAAATATTGTTCGTAATCGAAAAATGGCATTCTCCTTTTAAAAACTCAAAGAAAAATAAAATATTGGGGGATGTCATTGAAATAGCAGAGGAAGTTCGTGGATTTTGGGTAAAATACAGTGTTTTTTCTGTATTTTGGGATAGAATGTCCCTTACTCTACAATGAAATTCCTCAGTCTTCGACTTTATTACGTTCTCGGACAAGAAAGGGTAATTTTAGATTTTAAGAACAATATTTTGTATTTCAGAAATAATCCTGTGAGCGAGTGAAATACTGCATTCCTATCGATTACGCAGTCATCTAGGAATGCCTCTTAGAGTTGAATATTGGGAGAATTCAGGATAATTTACGACAATACCTGCGAGAAAGGTAACTTCCTGAAGGTTTACTCACTTTAATTGACAAATTTGATGATTAAAAATGATTGAATCAATAGTGCGGCCTGCACCAACCTGTAAAAGATACTTGGATATCCTTAACGATAATTCTGTCATTAAATAGATGAGAAAATGAGTAAAACATAACATTCTCATTAAATCCGTTGTTATTAGCGTTTATCTTTGAAAGTGAAACCAAAAAAACGGACTATAAAATCATTCGTTATTAGTATAATACTCGACTTGTTGTCCCTCTTCAATACGCAAACGCATCTCCATAATAATAGACTCCTCTGTCACGTATCACACATATTCCCTTCACCCTCATTTGACGTATCGAGACATAACGCGTTTTACAATATATTACATCGAAAGCGACGGTCGTTGCACTCGTGCCAATAATCCTCCCCAAATGTCTCTCTCCTCTACATTAATCCTAGCACATTACAGTAATTCCTTAATATTATCTCACTAGCGATATTTCTTGCACTCCAGAAATGATAAATGGTTGACCTTGACATAGCTGTTGGCACGTGTCCTGTCACGAAATTCTTCACCATTCAATCACTCTCTTGTTATTCACATTAAAACAGCGCTAACTACACAGTCTCAGTCTTGTCGTCTTATTTAAAATTCTCTTTATAAATTCTCGTTTCACCGACACCAAATGTCTTTAAACGATCACATTCACCGTGGGGTAAATATTGGCGCATGTTTATCGGATAATCCACGTTGAGATGAACGTGATTGTGAGCAGCGTCGATGTTACCCTCGATAATCTGACGGCAACACCTGGAACAGAAGATTATTTTGAAATTCGTTTAGTGAGAAATCTTTAAGCTTTGAGGGTGATGGAAAGGGGCGAGGGGGGAGGCGATAGCACTAAAGGTTTGCCTATAATGGTTGGCTATTTACGTCGGTTATTCTCTGATGAAGTGTCTGAGGGCGTTTGCCTTTCATAAGTAGTATTGAGCTCCCTGTGCGTCAGCCTTAGTGAGGAGACTGCGGGAGATGGAGTACGTTGTTCTTATAATTTACGGGGAAAACGGCTTGCGGTCGATATAATGAGGCCAATTATGGCCGATGAGACCTTTGATTGATAGTACACTGAGAAAAAAAATTTATTCATTTTCTCAAAACACGTATTTCTGCAATCGAGTCATTCCCAGGGGAGTTGATTAGGTTTCAATTGTAACAATCACGTTATTCATTTTTTCTAAATTTCTTATTTTCTACAGGGAGGAATAGAGATTAATTTTTTCATGTTGATAACTATTGCAGAAGTTCACTCAAGGTCATAAGTAATATGATCATCTTCTAGAGCAATATTGCCCTTAATTTTCGCGGTAAATCCATGAAAATTTTCTGCAAAACACGCGGCGAAAAATTCCGATGCTGGCGCGTGAATTTTTCCGGAGCTGGCCGAAACCCATTTTATCGTGCGAGCACAGTATTTTTTCGGGTATTTTTTTCTCCGTGTATCACAGGGTTGATTCGATTTCAGCCAATCGGAGTGCACTATGTGAAGGAAAAAACGAGTGTCGATTTCAAGCGGAAATATCGCAGTAACTTTTCATTGGTGCAATTTCTGAAATAAAACTGTTGGACAGCTTCAAATACTGCGCTGATTGACGGGAATGCGAAAAAATGACATGAAAAAAGACAATGTACGAAAATTCTAAATTATTTGGCAGAGGGAACATCAGGGAGAAGAGTTACTGCTTCTCAAGGGAAATGTAAATTTGTCCATTTATATTATTATCAAAATTAAACACCAAATTTGATCGAGCATTCATGATAAATTCATTACAAAATTCTCTAATCGTTAGTGTAAAAACCCTCGAAATTTCATACCATTCGAAATTACCTGTAAAAAACCGTTTTCTCAAGCATCCATTGAAATTTGACTTGAAATTGACCTTCCCATTAATGCCCCCCAAATTTAATCTGCAATCACTTCTGTTGAATGTTATTGACTTTGACTTCAAATTCAATGTGAAGCTTCCTATCAATTCAAATAAAGCGAAGTTTGAAGCGAATTCACCAGAGCAAACTCAATTACTAAATTAGAACCACCAAGCAATAGTATATTCATCGAATCTCAGAAATCTGATGCTAAAATTTTTAATGAATTAACAGAAGCCTTTACCCCGCAATGTTCCCGTATATTTAAACTCAACGAGCAAAAGCTAAACGCGGTTACTCGATCACACGTACTCCCCTCGCCATAATCCTTTAAAGTTTCTTTACCGCTCTTTTCTTGCCTTCACTCATCTCTAATTACGAATCAGAAACAACCGTTGGGCGCGTCCCCGCTCCAGCAATGCCCTCTCGTCTTTACCCTCACTCGTATATTCTACGAGTGAGTTGAGAGTAAAAAGGGGGAGAAAAATGAGATGTGAGAGGAGCAAGGGGGTGCCAACCCTCAGGCATCCCGCGGGACTTCCGTGCTCCGCAACTTTTGTCTGTCTTCCCCCTCCACCCCTCCCCCTTCCGCCATCACTCTTTTTATCCTGCGCCCGTGCTACCTCAGTTATTCATTTTTAAGTTTCTTCTCCCTTCATTCTTATTTTATCCCTTTTCCATACTCAACTCTCATTTTTTTTCATTCACCCCACTCTGTCGAGGGGGAGTTTGAGGCACAATGCGATTCCAAACTCTTTCAAGAGTTTCACCTCAATTAGATCATTTATGAGCATACCCTCGCATCTCGCCTGATTCATCACTATTCTACTGAGTGAATGTCGCTTATAATGAGCCCCATTTACCAGAATCTATGGTAGAATTGAAAGGTGTCCTCCAGTTTTGAAAAATCCAGTGGAAAGTTTTTTCAAGCCGCACAGAGAGAAAAATTCAATAAAAATTACCAGAAAAAAGACGTAAAAATTACGTTTCGAAACGTAATCCGCGAGCGAAGTAAAATTCAATAAAAAGTGTGAGTCGGAACTGAAATTGTACGAATCGTCATGATCACTAGTTCACTCAAGGTCAAAACTAGCATGATCATCTTCTAGCGCAATACAATTGTCATAATTGAAACCTGATGAGAATTGCCTGGAACGGATTCGGCTGGAGAAATACGGCATTGAGTAAACAAATGCTTTTCTCAAGTAAACGGATATTTGGCAAAAATAATTTTTTTTCTCAGTGTAGAGATACACTCTGTAGTTTCATATACTGTGTACCACATACCGTAATAACACTCCATATTTATCCATGTTAATACTATACAGTTGAAAATCGTCGGAGTCCCTAGAAAACAATAAGCGCATGGAGCACGCAGCCTATTCTGGTGGTTCGTGAGGATAAAAAGTGATACGAGCAAAAATAGTCAGACGACAGTGGAAATCTTCATTCCAGTATCAAGCCGGCATTTTCTACTCATCCCTTTCCCAAGGAATAGTACCTAAATTCAAGACAGACAACCACCACAACCCCGGGGAAACTAGGGCTCGCGTGCATTCCACCATTATGGAAATTTTATTTCAAGCAAAATTGCGATAGTGAAGGCAGCGAGTATGACCAAGGAGCAAAATGTCCAATATCGCTCGATGCCTCCTGGGGATTTTCCGCAGTCACCAGAGTGAACGTTTCTAAGTAATTTACATCCTCGTGGAAGAACGAAAAAGTGAATTCGTTTGAATGTAATAAATTGAAGGATTCTCCTCGGCCTGAAATTGGGCTTTAATGCTTTGTGTCCTCAAAAGTTGTCAGGATTATGAATGCAATTGTCAGAGATTACAATGTGGCTCGTGGTTATTGATCTCCGAGTTTTATAACTCGTGGGTTACCAGGGGTTTTAAGATGTTTGCAGATGCAGATGAAACGCAGTGGGAGGCTGGATATTCTCCTGAATTTCTCACCCACTCACTCGTAGTTTGTGGGGTAAATGGTAGGGGTGAAGTTTTCGAGGTAGACAGAGAAATGGAAACTTGAGGGTAGAAGTTGTCAGAAAGCCCGATTAAGCCACTGTGCATTCGTTTTCTTATGGGGCATTTGTACTCTTCCCCGGCAAACTCTCAACAGTGCTTTCTCACCTAAATTTCTCATCACGACTCTTGCATTGTGGGAAAAGTTTTGGTCGATGATCGGGATGGAATACTCGGGGTTATCAGGGAATTACTGGGGAACAAGTGTTGTTGGAATTACATAATTTACGGGTTGAATGGTCTTTTTAGTTCTTTTATTTCTTTTTATTTTTATGGAATGTCTAATGTTGGGGAATAAATCTTACCATTATCAGACGCCCATTTGTAGTTGCCCTTTCTATCCACGTCGTCCGATTTTCTCTCCGATTTGTCGATCTCGTTGAGATTTGACTGGGATTTTCCTGCAAGTAGAAAAAGTAACTCGTGGTCAGACCGCGCCCATGGTTTCTTCCTCCTTATTTTTCGTTTTGCTCTAATTATGCGGAGGAAAAACATTGGGAGAAATTAGGTAACTGTGGGACGAAATTCTTATTTCGGGAATTTCCGCGAAATACCGTTAGGCAAATCATTAATATTCGCTTTTCATTCCAAACTCTTTTTTGAATTGAAACCCAATTCAACCGAAGAAGCGATATTTGGGAGTATCTGAAAAAAATACTGTAAATTTTAGTCCAATTATTCCATGATATTAAAAGAAATCAGAAAAATTCAGGGAAATATATTGTTTATTCTTCAATTATTTGAAAATTTAGCTCCATTTCGTATTGAAGATTCATGTTTTCACTGAAAACTCAAGTCACTCAGAGAATCCAAGTAACTTCTAGTCTTTCTGTTGCTCACTTCAATCGAATTTAATGTCTCTCTTCTCCCAATTACTAGTCAACTGTCTACGAAATTTCCTTTTTTTTTAACAGTAGTTTATCCAATTTCTTTTCTCCCTACATGTTTAGACAATTTTCATGTTGAGCTTTCCCTTCACAGTTATGAAACTCGAATTACTCGTATTATCCCCTTAGAGGCTAATTGCAAATCAACTGTCCGGGGCATAAGGAAGATGACAAAGGGCACTTAGGTGTACAACCACTAGAATCAGCCCTCGACCCAAGATGTTTACGCCTCCCTTAACGTCGAGAGTCAACGAAGCAGTACGACACCCCTCAAGGTAACTTGGATGCAAACTTGATGCAAACACAATTCTCTTAACCACTTCCGGTGGCCGGAGTAAGAGCAAAAGGAAGAGGGATGTGGTACCTTAGCCAACGAGTAAGTTCCTCACGGGTTCTGACGTCGTTTCGGAAATCCGACGATCTACGATGTTATTCAATATTCAGTTTTACCCGTGCACTCTTTCTAAACTTACGAAAAAATTTAAAAACTCATCTCCGGTTTTCCCGAAGAAGCCCACCGGGGTCGCAGAGGAAGCAGTAATTGTTGAGGGAAGTTGAAGAAATTTGAATTTTATCCTCTGGAGATGATGGAATAATGTTTACCGGAAATTACTCGAAATCTAATATTTATTTGCAGTGAGAGATGGAGAAGAGAACATTTGCATTCCAACGTTTCAAATGAGATCTCCGTATCTGTAATGTTTAATTTTTCTCTTCGAGATCTTTTGCTTTGAGTGTCGCAGGAATTAATGAGTTATTACGGAGAAACATCTATTAAGGAGAATCTGTTGGTTCTTAATAATATATGGTTGACTTTTAAGTGCTCAACTTGCACCAAGTCTTTTATCACGTACCCTAGTGGAAAAACCTAAGGCAGATGCGTAACATGCCTGATCAGAATTTCGGATCGGACTTGATCAGTTTCTGATCGAGACCTGAACAGAATTTCCACTCGGGTAACAGAGAATCTCCCCGGCAATAATAATGTAATAGATTCCAATGCAGTGCTGAATAAATTAAACTAATAATATATGAATGAATGCAGGATAATATAATCATGATGACGCCGGGTATTGAATTAATGAAATAAATGAACGTATATTTGAGTTAAAACAGAATTATTTTTCAAGTCTGCAGATTATGACTCGCTTATGGTGCTAGCCCATAAATTTCTCTATAAAAAATTTTCTCCGTATAAAATAATACACCAAAACCACCCTAAGCGAATCCCCATGTCTCCAAAAAATCGTTCCCCGCAAGAAAAATTGCCAATTGATAGTCCGCAATGTCAACCACAATTCATTAGCTGCTTCACATCACCCGGGAATTGCCACTCCTGCATCATCATTATCATCATCAGGCCTCCCCTTATATCTGTTGATTCAGCATTAGTCAACCCAACCCAATTTCCCTTACACCTATACAACCTCCCATTACCCTATCCAGTTGCTTGATTGCTGGTACATATCCTCTTACCTCTCTCCTCCTCATCAGCAACATCACCCTCAATATCGCCCTCTGACCTCAAACACTTTTACTCCACCCCTCGGTCACCAATATCCCAACTACTTTGACACCCCAACCCGACCCCAGGAGCCCTTCATTCAGCCATCCACCGCCAGAATTCGATTCACACGATTCAAGATGCTCGGGCTTTCGTCAACAATAGCTTCCCATTTTGGCCACGATAATTGGCGATCACGCACAAACACTTGAGGGCATGTAGCCGACCCTACTGTGTTGTTCGAGGGCCTGGAGCACCTCAGAATCCTCTCCCCCCTCCTTCCACTCTGTGTACAGCGCGAATGGGTTAACAGACGCATGCAAATTTTGGCCAAACATTATCCAGTGACAGTGGCAGTGTTATAAGCGCTCGCGCAATGCCCGCTGGCATATGTGTCATCGTGCAGCGCCTGTGTGAGAATGGATGCCTTACACACGCAGGGAGTAATAGGGGAGTGACTCCCTAACCTCGATTATCCAGCATAAACCATTGTTGTTTCGATGGCATGAGGTTGACTTGGGTTGTCCGGGGGACACAGAATGCCTCAATGCACCGCCTCACGTCCAGAAGTGAACTGTGCGACCTTATCAGATACTGGGTTCGGAGGAGGAGAGTATCAGAGGTCGAATCGAATGTGGATTGAATTATTATTGAGGGATGCGGGAATCTTCAGTCAGGGTGGAAAGGAGATTTCAATAATCCGGGGCTTTCGGTGATAGGCTCAATTGATCCTCATGTATTCGGATTACGCTGTTATAAAATCACTCCTGGATTGAGAAATCTTGAAATTTTTGGGAATGAATTCTTCACGTGAGATTCTCAGATGTGTTGTTCATATTTCCGTAACTCTCTCCAAGAATAAAATTCGATCCATGACAGTACGTCTGATGTTTTTGGCTGCACTTTCAGGTACAATCTTCGAAAATTTTTATAACATAACAGTTCCACTGAAATGTTGAGGAATTTTGTCATTGGAAATTTACAATTGTTAAAAAAGTTAATGGGAATTATAAATTTCAGTTCAGTTATTCCGTGAAAGTCATAGAAATCAGGAAAATTTAGGTAAATATGTTATTGAATTCTTAATAAATTGGAAATTAATCATAATTTGATGATGAATATTTATGTTTTGATTAAAGATTCAAAGAAGTTCGGGAATTCTCGTCTTCGCGTGATCTAAAAATTCGGAATTCTATTGGAATTTCAGCGAATTTTGAAATTTTATTTTTGCCCCCATAAGTCTAATTTAATTTCGCCCTCCAAAAATGACTACAAATCTATTAATGGAATTTAATTTGTTTCAATCATGCAGCATTCAGTTTTGCCGAACAATTATTCGAGTAAAGCTGATTATTCATGATTTGTTTTCAATTTTTCTCGCGCAATTCAATTAACAAATTTGATAAATGAAAATCTCCAACTGCTGTATATCAAACCACATAGAACTTACTGTGTCAAGCACGCAGAAAATTGTTGGCTTTCCCGCGTGTCCCACGTCATGCGCACATTCGCAGTCAAATAAGAATTTACGGTTTTCTGACTGTATTTGTATAGCCGTAATTTTCGTGTTCTCCCGTTGATTCTCTCCATTCGCGAATGTGCAGAGTGTGATCCCTAGGGCGATGCGGGTCAGCATCCCCTATCAGTAATTAAAATCGCATTGACCCCCGATACTCGATTGAACAGTTATTATTACGCTGCTACAAGCTGCACGGCATTACTATTGTGAATGTTAGATATTGTGCTGCGAAGGTCTCTGCATAATTCCACGTTATTGAACGCTATCACTAGGTATTACCACTTCTAATGAATGTACACTACAATCGCATTAGAGTCCAACGATGATAAATCCACTTGGGGATAATAATTACGTAATGATCATAGTTACAAATGGTTGGAGGGACGGATGTCAACGCTAATCACGACAATCGACAGACGGGCGGTTGGTACAAGCACGCGAACATGTATTATCTTCGCATACAACGGTCGGTGAGGCTAACTTGTGTTTCACTGAGAGCAGTAACCTGAAAGTACGTTCACTTGCGTCTTTAATCTCTACTTGTGGAGGTTGTATACCTTCCCGCGAGTTCTAACAATGTTTAGAGTCCTGGGATTATTCGCACTGTTATTAGCATACTCCCGGGGAATGATAATGATCAGCTAGATGAACACTCCATGAAGGAAAGGAGACTTGGGGGGCCCTGAAATTTCGTGAAAGATATTATAGTAAATCTGATGAGAATGACATTGAATCGGATTTAGGGAAAAAATGGTTATGAAATTTCAAGTTTTAAGTCGAATTCACGAAAATTCATGAATTTTCCGCGGAACATAAATTTTCAGAAACACAATAATATGAATTGTCAATTTTTTACTGAATTGTCCCGATTTTTCTGAATTTTCACAGAATAATTGAACTGAAATTTCTATCAACGATCAATTTATATGAAAATTTTGTTGAAGCTTGACCAGACCCACCCAAAAATGGCCAGAATACACGAATATCCTTAAGAACCTAACGAGATGTGGATGTAAGTGAGAAAATGAAAAAACGAAAGGGAATTCGGATCTAAACGGTATAAACCGACAACGTGTTTTCAAACATTTCTGAGATGCTCGAGAATGATTTTTTTATTTGTTTATCTGAAATAGAATGACAGTTATCTTCTGTCATGCTGTCTTATTCATTGCATTCATCCGATGTGCTAAAAGATATTTCCAGCGTAACATTAATAAGGAGTGACTTATCCGTAGAGTGACGGAAATACTATGCAATGAATAGAGCACAATGAATTAACAGAATAGAAATGCTGTTACCCAAAATAAAAATAGTACGATGTGAACATAATTTCCAGTTTAAGAAGAGTTGAGGAGAACGATGAATTCTTCATTCGAACTCGAACAGAGGCTCCATCAATGAAGGAAATACAATTTCAGGTCAAACTGAATTATGGGAGATTCGTTTATCACAATTATCTCTGTTTCACTGAAATTCGATATTATTTATTTGAGAGATAATGCTTGGCAATCGAATGCTAAATTCGATTGCCTAAACCACATTTACTTTAGACAAGGACTTTTTCTTCAATCGCTTAATTCTCCTCTGAGTCTCAACTCACGTGGCTCATGCTTTAAAATATTCTTGTACTCAAGTATGACTTTCTCGCAAATGAACTTACACGGAGAGAAATTTTTTGGAAAAATTCTAGTGTTGGTACCGACAAAAATCCCAAGCCGCAGTCTATGAGAAATTTTAATGCTGTTAAGATGAAATTTCTAGGGATTTCACATAAAATTTTCGGGGATTTCTGTGAAAATTCCGTGTAAGAACGGGAAAAATTCACGTTCTACTCAACGAGCACTCAAAGAACAAAAAAATTCACGTGCTAAGTTTTAAGTAGAATTCACGAGAATTAATGAGTTTACAGTTTCAGTGAGACACATCACTATTTAGACACAAAATGACCTAAATTTTCCTGATTTTTCTGAATGTTCACAGAATAATTAATAAGTTTACCTGAAAAATCAAGTGTTTCATTGATTTCTAGATCACTTAACCAGAAAACAATGGAATATTTGATTTTTCAATGACAAGATTTCCTGAAATTTCAGTGGAACTTAAACCCGATAGAAATTTCCGGAATTTGGCACGAAAAATTTAGACCAAACATTTTAAGCGTGTGCGTGGCAAACGACGAATAAACAATTAATTTTGTTACACTAATTATTCGTTTTTAGACATGTATAATCGATCTTTAATGCATGAGAAATCTCACTCCAATCGCCCGCAACTTTTAAGACTCACAGTAGTCTCCCCTCAAGCTCATTTCATTAAATCCTCCTCCCGCCTTCAGCGGACAATATCCAAGACAAAAATATCACTGACCTGTATCCCATAATAATAATGATAGCCCAGCGATTAATTCCCCAAAATACCGTGCGTGTGCTGGAGAACGTATACGCGAATTGCAAGCGCAGTTAGTCGTTTTGTGGGCAGCTCAAACGGGGGTGAATTTGAGGTTGAACAGTACTGCAGAAACAGAGAGAGCGAACGAGAATGGTGGATGGGGTTATGAGGGGGAATCGTACGAGGGAGCAAACATTAATGCCGCCCCGCAGACCGCAGATGTTGCGCCAATTACAAACCTCACCTCCACCCCCGATCCCTCTCGCGACTCCTGCCAGTGAACGAAGAGCGTCCCGTATAGTGAAAGCCATTTCTCCAGCGGATACCGAGTTGCACCGAGATTCTACGTCGTCGTAGTAGTTCGTAAGAGCAATTCAAGCCCCCACCCAGCGCATCCATCTCCCTTGTACCTTGGTGTTGTCTTCGTACTCAACCATGTTCACCTTTTCATATCTTCCTGGGTAAGGAATATTGGTACACGTGTTCGGGTTATAAAGAATTACTTCAAAGAGATGAGGAAGTGGATAAAAAAGTTTTGATGGAGGGGGAAAATTCAGGAATATTAATAGGTTTTCACTTTGACGCTTAAACTTTTTTGTTGTTATTAAAGCTTGGAGTGATGCTGAACATGGAAGGGAATTAAAATCTGAAGTTTTTAACTTTTCAGGGAGTAATGAAAATCAGGGAAATCAGTAAAAATTTTAAGGGGTAGTTAGGGAATTATTGTAGCTCGTTAATGAGTCAGGTTAGGAGGGATTATCAAGGGAGTTTGTGCGTGACAAATTTTACCAGGTGAATATTTTGTTCCAGAGTTATTTATTCCGGAGATGAATTCATTCAATCGGTTCAACTTGAGAGTTGGAAAACAGAGTTCAAACCTCATGGGCGAGTGTTTCATCACTTCATTACTGGATTGAAGAGTTGATGATCGAAAAATACTTAAACCGTTGAAATTACTCGAACGAGTTTCAGTTGATTTATTGGTCTCGAAGTTTGGCGTGATGCTGACGATAAAACGGAATTAAAATTCTAAGTTTTAGGAGAAACGATCTAGAGACATTTTCCATGGCAAATTTCGTCAGTTTGATACTTTTTTTCTAAAATTAGCCATTCCTCAAAATTAATACATTGACCTGTTTTATCATTTCATTACTGGGTTGTAGAACTGATGATCAATAATTACTGAAATTAAAATTAATCAAACAAGTTTCCACTTCTTTGTTGCTATCAAAGTTTGGAGTGATGCTGAAGGTGGAGTGGAGTTAAATTTCCAAGTTTTTTAATTTTTCATAAAACAAGAAAATCGAAGAAATCCATCAACTTTTTTCCGGTGAGTAATTATAAAGTTGGCTCGTTAAGGGATGAGTTTAGGAGAAATAATCAAGGGATATTTTCCACGACAAATTTTATCACTTTGATACGTTTTTTTTATTCTTGCAAAATCCCTTATTCCTCAAAATGATATATTGACCTATTTTATCAGTTTATCTCTGAATAGCTGAACAGATAATCAAAACATGTTCCAATTATTAAGATTAATCGAATGAGTTGGACATTTTTTGTCATAAAAGTTTCGAGTGATGTTGCGAATTGGAGAAAATAAAAATTTCAATTAAATTTTGATAAAGCGGTAAAACTAGACGAAATCTATTCCTCTGAGGGTTGTTCTGGGGCTGCGACATTTTTCATAATGAATTTCGTCAACTTAAGGATACCCAAGTACTTCGCCTATTTTTTCTCTAGTAAAATACTTCTATATTTTTGTAGTCGAGCATCAGAAGTTTCAGAAATTATTTTATCATTTAACCTTTGCAGGTCTGAATTTAAATTTCGATATTGAACCGTTGGAAAACATTTTAAAAATAAAAGTTTAGTTTTGGAGAAAGATTGATAAAATAATTTAAAAATTGTAATTTTTGAAAATTATAAGCATTTTCAATAAATAATTAATAAACAATTAATTTCCCACCATAAAATTTATCCACCACAAATTCATTCATATTCATAATCTTACCAGAGATCGATTTCATGGCTAAAACAATAAGGTCTCCGAAAGTTTAAACAATTGCAATTATTTATTTATAACCAACAAATGTTCAAAAAAATAATAATTCTGTGCAAAATGTAATTGGAATAACGTTGAATATTCATAATGTTTTTCAAATTGATCTCACGGAATTTAATCGACAAACGGTTGAAAATGAATAAAAGACACTATCCTTAAGATTTCTTTCTGAAACCACTCACTCCTTCGATAAATACACTGCACTATCTCATCACTTCACTGCTGAACAAACCGATGATAAAAAACTCATTCGACAATTGATATTAATCAATCACAAAACTATGTACATATAAAAATGGAGGGACTGAACCTCGTTCCACCCACAACACCGCAATTCCACGAACCCCACGGCCTCCACGAGCCCCACAGACTGTTAGCAAATACACGCCGAGGGAAGGGGACAATGTCGGACTACGTGTGTAGACAAAGTGTCTGGGTGTATGTACGCCCTGGATGCTGATATTATTCTTGGGCCTTCCTCGGGGTTGGAGCATTATTAGTTCTGGCGTGTTAGCATACATGAAATATTGATGTTGCACCCCCTCCACTTGCTGCAGTACAGCTTGGGCTGTGTACCCCCTGCCTTTTCACAGCGGTTGTACTCTTCCCTCCACCTCTTCGCCAAGCCCACCCCACGACCCTCCCCTCCCTCTGCCGCCCATCCACTTGCCCTCTACACTTTGAGCTCAACTTTCTTGTGTCGTTTAAGGTTGGTGTGCCCCGATTGCCTCAAAGCCACATGGCGAACGCTGTACTTGTCATTATACTCCACCAGATTTCCCAGAATATGGAAACTTCCGGATAGCAGTTAAGCATTGTTCGACGCCCGTTTTCCCAACCCCAGAATCTTCTTTAAAAAACAAATACAAAATAAACTAGACGAAGGTAAATGCTATTCTTACCTGTCTTCGATGTTTTTCCATTATGAAAAGTCAGTGAACTCGGGTTGCCATCTATCGAATTGTTCATCTCTGTCAGTACGTCCCAGCCTGATGGGAAAAGGGGGAAAAAATGTGAGGCAAGAAATAAAATATTACTTTTAATAACATCTAGGAGATTTCTCTGAGCTGGTTTATATCTTTCCCTTCCACCTCACTCACCTTTTCTCAATGGCTCCGTGGTCAGTGGACCGGGGCTTGTGCTCGGTGGTGTAGACACTGCAACAAGAGGAAAAAAATTCTCTCAGCCATGTTTTTTATTTCAAATTAAGTTTCTGCGTTGTTGCTACACGTGTTGAGTGATCTGGGGGAATTGAGAGTGTCTGATTGAGGTGTAAGGCGGGTGGTGAAGTATATGTTATAGGTGCAGTGGGGTAGTTTGGGTTAGCTGTTATGGATTGCGCCACCTGTTACCAACTTTGCCCGCTGGAATGTATTAGCCAGTAGCCAACGGGAAGTAGATACGGGTGGGAGGAGGGGGCGCTGGCCAAACTACTAGATCATATTTTATTCCACACGAAACCATAGACCGAGGTATAACCGAGAGTGAGTGGCTAGAATGGGTTGACTCGGGTTCTCCTACCGGTGCTTGTGAATATATGCTTGAATAATTATTCCTAATTTCGTCATTCGTCCTTTCAGTGTTCCTTACACCACCTCTTGCATGACAGAATACTTGTCATGTGCTTCCATCTGCTATTTCTCTCGCTATGGGGCTTTGAATTTTCAACGAGTCTCGGGGCGGATTTAACGAGCCGCGGTGGTGATCGACGGGCGGGGGAGGGGGAGAAAAATTGCGCGGAATTGGTGGGATGAAAGAAATTTTATTGGGATGGGTGCGGGGAATACGTTGCATTAAATCACGATTAATCATTGGGCGTTTCCGGAGTGATACTGGCGGAGGCGTGGAGAGGGTATGTAAACAAGTTGGTTAGCTTCTGGGAAATCGATGTGGGAGTTTCATTTCAAAGGAACGGGAAATTCCCGAGGGCTGGGTTGACTTCCTTTCAGAGTGATTAACAGAAATGAAATGATTATTTGCGAAGTTGCGGTTGTATTCTTTGACGCTGGGGACGTTTAGGGGGGATGGAATAACGATTTGCTTGGATTGAGTTTTAATTGTGCAGTGATTTATGTGATTTTCTTTTTTTATGGTGTTTATCACTGGATGTGAATATAACACAGAGATGGATTTCAACAAAATTTTAAATATGATAAATTTGTTGCCCATTATTTGGCTGCGATTCACGCAAAAACGACTTTAGACTAGAAGCTATTGCGTTAAAAACTTCTAGAAAATTCTAGAGCTTTCTAGAAAATTCAGGAACTTTCTGGAAAATCCTTGAATATTCCCGAGTTTACCAGAAAATTCGAGAAAGTTTTTTGGGTTTCACAGAGAATTCGGAAAAAGTTTTTAATTTTATAGCGAAGCAGAAATTTTACTCTGAAGTCACAGGAAATTCACTGGCGCATCGATGGATTGATTTCATTTTTTTGTGAGTAATTAATGGACGATGAATAAATATTTAATGGGCCGAAGTCATATTTTTCAAAGCTATTGAAGCGTTTCATATATTCCAGGAACTTGCTGAAGTAAAACCTTTGAGGCGAAGTTTTTTAAGTTTACTGGAGATGAAATAACGATGTGCAGAGTTGGGGGTTCCATTGAGCATGCCTGAGCGTTTTAATGGGTTGCTTTCTTTGTGAGTAATCAAGGGCACATGAAAGTAGCAAAAAATATGACAATGTCGGCAAATCTTTGTTCCACGTCGCCTTCAGCTCTTTCAATTACACTCATCTTGAGGTGGCAAGAATTTTTCGTAATAATTTCTCAATTTTAGAAATCAACGAAGGAGAAGAATTCGTCCAGTTAATACTTTTCCGTACTTCAGTAGTTTTTTAGACTTTACAAGCCGATTGTACTCATGAAAACGGCCTTAATTTCTCCATTCGAGATATTTCCCGAGTTTTTCTTGAAAAGGATTGGGGAGGAAATGATTTGCAAGTTTGAGGGGCAGATCGAGCAATAATTCTCCCCATATTATGATCTTCAATTTTCATGATGGGATATAAATTCAACTTTGTTTCTCCTTCGTCAGATCGCACTTTATATAATGTAATTCCGAATAAAGCCAATTGACATCAGGAGCATCAGTTGTGCCACGGGTAATATAAAGAGAGCATACCAGTGTGAAAATTGATTTATCACATTTGCGGAGTTCCAACGTTGGGCAGATGTTGAAGGATGAGGTGGAGTGATGGAACGAAGAGCGTAAGGGGGGGGGGGAAGGAGCAACGAGTGTGAGAGGAAATGGAGAGCGATGAGGAGGCAGAGTGAACAGGAGAGTGGAAAAAAGGGGGTGAAAAAAAGGGAGAGGGACAGGCGGCGAGACGAGTTGCCATCCTGTTCGTTTGGGACTGAGTGGCAGGGCAGACACGGAGAGAGAGAGAGTTGGGAGGTGACTTTTCACTTTTGATTTATCGAGCCAACTTTTATTTCTCCCTGGGATATATTAAAACCCGTTGTTCCGGCCATTTAACTTTACTTTCTCGTTGTTCTGATTGATGATTGGCTTGCACGCGTGTGCGCGCATATGAACCTGAGTCTCTCTTTTTACAACCTCTTTGGAAACTTTCAGCCTTTGAAAGTGACATAGATCTTGAGGCTGAAATATTCGATTTTTGTTTTGCTCTATTTTATTTTTATTTGCTTCTTTATTTATATTGAATGAATAGTTATTTACACATGAACCAAAGTATAATTGAAACATTTTTATTGGAATAAATGCATGAGCTTATTCGTTTCCAACGAAAATGTTCTTGAAATGAATAAAAAATTTCAAATAAGAAGTTCAATGAATCAAAATACGGAAAAATAATGAAGGGTATATTAATGAGTTCAACGGGATTAATTACTCTACATCAGGACAAATTGATGCTAATCCATCTTTTTTCTCCTCCATTTTATCCTGAGTTAATTAGTTGCTGGACATTTTTTTTTATATGACAGAATAAAAATAGGTACTTCTTGCAGATCAGAGTTAACAAGAAACTTGTTAAAACGTAGGAACTCTTTAAGTGTCTTGATAGCGTTATCTTTCTCAGTTTTTTTCTACAAGTTTTTATCCCCGGCCATTTTTACACAAATACGTGCACTGCCTTTTGTTCATTATTCTTCCTTTTCCTTTATTTGTTCGGTGCTGAAAGAAAACCTTCCACTTATTTTGTGCAAATATTGAATATACGGATATGTCAGGAATTTTCGGCCCACGTTAATCCATTCCATCAGTGTCAATTTCGAAACAGTGGATGTTCATTGAATCTTCAGTTGATAAATCAAGTTCCGTAAATTCTTAAATGTTTAGAAGATTGAACCCCTGAAGTGCTGGCTGTGAAATTTTTCATGAAATATCGGCAGACATAACCTGCGATTCGAAGGGTAGAAGACTTTTTTACATATTTATGAAGGATTGCAACTGTTCTTTCGATAAATCGTTTGACTTATTGACCTGTATATTTATACATTCGTGTTCATTCCACCCTGGTTCTCCATTCTTCGATATTTCACACTGTACGAATGTAAACCAAAAAACAACTGAACGATATACATCACCAATAGTATGGAATTTGCACCGAAATATTCGAAACCGGTTTCAATAAATTATGCATATTATTTCAGAGCTCTCATCCATTCCATTCAAATGATATTAATCATCCAGGAATTATTATAATCTCTTCATGAATGCATGAATCCGAAAATGTTAATCAGCATTGAAAATGAATTGATGGTCCCCGCACATAATGAATTATCGTTTTATTCAGATATTGTCAGAGGTATTCATCCAGTGAGGGGAAAAATCATTTCTGTTCAACGAATATGTTCCAGATGCTTTTAATTCCTTTGATTTTTTGGGTTAATTAAATCTAGTTTAGACGCATCACAGAAAGGAAGAATTGTATTTTACACAGGAAAAAAATTCTATTTCCTAAAAACATCCAATAATTGTAAATTTGTTCATTCGGTACAATTCGATTTTTCTACACAACTGATTCTATAGGGGTATTTTTCATGGAATTTCCTCGGCTCAAATTTTCCAAGTTTTTTGTTTGATTTTCTTATTCTAAAAACACAGAAAAATATAATAAAAAAAAATAATAATGAAAAAACTTATCCTATATTGAAAAAACTTTGAAAAGTTTCAAATTTCAAAAATTCATGTTCGAATTACGCCAAAACCGCTGAGACGATTTTGATGGAATTTCACTCCCGTTTTGATCACATAAAGTTGCATCAATTATGATGGCAAGAAGTCAATCTCATCGTTTCTCTGAGAGGAATCATCAAATTTGTAAAAAAAATGTAATTTTTCGACGTTTTTTCACAAGTTTGATTGCAAAATCTAAAGGACCACTGAACCCGAACCCTGAACCCTCTTCCCCGAAGCCCCCAACAAGTGGTCATTTTGAACATCTCCCCGAATTCTACTGCATGCAACAAAGGTGTCATGCAGTAATCAGTATGCAACTATTGTCGCACCATCCGCACTCTATTTTTCTCCGTCCCGCTCTCCCACTCCTTCATGCATATTCCGCTACGTGGAATACACGCTCCACCCGAGCTAGACCGTTAATTTTCCGTCCTGCGCCTCCAATCAATCTTACAGAACGTCAGCGGGCCATTTTTCCCAAGCACTGAAAGGGTCACCACGTTATTCCCTTCATTTTTCCTGTGGACCTCTCCTCCAGCATATTATCTTCATTCCCGTAGCTAACGATTCATTATTGGGGGAATGGCAAGAGTAGAATCGAGATTTGTATTCAAATACTTTTTGTGGCACAGGAAAAGAGGAGCGGAGGGTTCCGCTGTTCTTCATCTACTTCGCTTTGTCCATGACCCTCAAGGGAATCGAAGAGAGAGTAGCAGCCCCGATCAATTACCAACTCTCGATGAGACTCAAGATGAGGCACAATATATTCATCGGCTCGAGTGGCATCGCAAAACTTAATTCCGGGAGGAAAAATTGTTTAACGCGCGGGGTTATTTCCGAGGGAAGGACACCTGTGACTTCAATCACGCGTTAATGTTACTGCGATGGATGCGTTTAGCTCTGCGTCTGCCTGTGCCTCACTGCAAATGAAGTCGAATTAGGAGCAGTGATCGGTACACCTGCGTTGTGCACTGCAAAACTGATTGGTGGAAATTTCAGGATTTGCTGTGC